AGACGAAGGCGTGTTTTGGCGTCCCGACCGCAGGCCTCCCCGGGCTGGCGGGGGAGGCCTGCAGTCGGAACGCCAAAACACGCCTTCGTCTCCCGTCGGGAGCCGCGGAGGCGGCCCAGGAGGCGACGGCGATCCCGCGTGTCCCGCCCCCGACCCTCACCTGGCCAGGCCCGGGCCAGCGCCCAGAGCCCGCGCGAGCACGGCGTCCCGGGAGCGTCCGGGGAGGCGGGCGGGCGCGAAGACGGTTAGGCCGCGCTGCAGGCCGGCGCGCTTCCTGCCGCGGCCCCGTCCTCGGGGGCCGCGGCCCGAGCCCCCCGCCGGCCCCACGCCGCGCTCCCACCCGCGTCCGCGGCGTGGGGCCCCGCCGAGCACTTCTCCTCACCTGCGAGGCTCCCGGGGCCCTCCGGGGCCTCGAAGCGGGAGGACCGCGCCGGCTCAGGGGGTCCCCGACGCGGGGGGGCCCCCACTCCGCACACGCGCACGGCCGGGAACCCGCGCCCCCCGAGGCGACGCGGGCCGGCTCCCGCCGCCCGACCCACACACACGCGCGCACTCTCCTCTCTCTCCCCCACACGCAGACACACAGTCACACACGCACGCACACCCACTCGCCGCGGGGGCCGCCTTCCGCCCGCCAAAGTCCCAACTCAACACACACACCCACACCCACACACACCCACACGCGTCCGTCCGTCCCTCGCCCACCTCACTTCCCGGAGGGGAGACGCGCTCCCCCTCGCTCCGCTCCCGGTCCGGACTCCCGAGCCCACGGGAACACTCTACCTCATTCTCCTCCGCGGGCCCAGGAGGAGCAACAGCAGCCATTTCCCCGCGCAGGGGCGGGGGGCGGAAGAAACACTCACACGACCACGCGCGCGCGCGCCGGGCCCCCACGGAGGCTCCCCTCCGGACCTCAGACGCAAACACAAACACCCACGCCCGCCCCGAGGGGCCGCGGCCACGGCGGCGGCGGCGGCGGCGGGAGGCCCGGCCCCGGAAGGCGGCCGAGCGCGCAGGGCCGGGAGCCGAGGCCCGCGCCCCCTCCTCACCTGCATTCAGCGCGCCAGGGTCCGGGCGGCGGCGGCGGCGACGGCGGCGGCGGGGCTGCGGCGGCGGGGGAGGAGGCGGCGGCGGCGGCGGTGGTTGCGGCGGGGCTGAGGGCAGTAAAGACATGCAGGCAGCCCGCCGGGGGGAGAGGCACCGGCCGGAGGGGACGCGGGGCGGGCGGGCCGGGCCGGGCGGCCTGGGGAACCACCGAGGCGGCGGAGGGCGGCCGGAGGGGGAAGGACGAAGAGCAGACGGATCGGGGGACCTGGGGGGGGGGGGGGTGGGGCGGCCGGGGAGAGGAGACCGCGGGCCGCGCCGCCGCCGCCTCCGCCTCCGCCGCCGGACAGGGACGACGGCGACCGGGGCGCGCAGGGAGAGGGGCCCGCGGTCGCCGGGGACGCGGCCGCCGCCGCCGCTGCGAGCGCCTCGCGGAGCCCGGCCTTGGCCTTGGCCTTCTGGCGCCGAGGCTGCCGCTGTCGCCGCCGCCGCCGCGGAGGTTGCTGCCGAGCCGGGGTTGCTGCGGAGGCCGGGGCCGAGAGCGGAGAGACCGAGGGAGACGCGGGCCTGCGGTGCCTTCGCTCTAATTCACGCACGTTCACACCCCCGAAGGGCCGGGGGAGAGCGGTCCGGGCGCTATCACTCTAGAGATTAATAACAAGGTGCAGAGAGTGCAGGGAGGAGGAGGAGGACGACGACGGCGAGGGTTGATTGACGTGGAGGGGCTGGCGGGAGTCCGTCACTCCCCGGCGCGGAGGGGTGGGGTGGGAGGCCGGGGGGCGGGGCTCCGGCGCCGCGCCGCGCTGCGCGAGGTGCGCGTGCGCGCGGGCGGCCCAGCGGCTCGCTCGGTTTCCTCGTCGCCCTCCGCTGGTGGTTGGAAAGGTGGGGGGGACAGAAACAGATCTCCTTTTATTAGACCGAGCGGAGAGGAGCGCTGAGGAGTCTTGCACGGTTATCGAAACCTACGTGCTCATTTATGGGGGTGGGGGAAGGACACGCGGGGACCCCTCCCCCGAGCTGTTCCCCGATGCTGCCCTACGCAGACCCACAGGCAGAGCTCAGGGCGTGCTAGGTATTTAAGGAGACCGTCAGGTGAGGTGAAGCGACCCAAGGAAGATGTTCTCTGACATCCTCCGTGGGATTTCAACACCCCCCCCCCCTTTTAAACAAGTAGCATGTTTAAGTTGCGTGGCGGGAGGTGAATTTTAAAACCTACGACGCTCTGCGATAAACCCGTCCTATTTTTAAGTTCTCCCTTCTCGCGATAAGATTGCATTTAGCAGTTTGCGGCAGTTACTGAGTGAAAACATTTAAGTGTAAACTAGAAATATTATTGGTTACCGTGTGAATGGAGCTTGCTATTTTAAGTTCGGAGGGATTTATTTTGGCACTTGAAGCACACCACATTTTCCACCAGCAGACCGAGAAGCAAATTGCATATGCTCTACAAGGCAGAATGCTGCCACGGATTTGCACTTTCGGTCTCGGTGCGTGGCTCTGTGTTGGGTATTGATCGATGTTGGTCCAAGAGTTGATTACACCGTTCAATATATTTTATCCTCAAATGTATGTTGTTTTCAGCACACTGAAGGCACCGTGTTGGTTGCAGTTTATCACAGGCCCAGTTACTGAATGTTTAAAGCCTTTATCTCTTGAGAAGTGAGGAAGGGGATGCGATTAAAATGCAAAATATTTATTAAGAACTGAACTGCACTTTCATCTTGTCGCCAGGAAGTATGAATGAGTAAAAAAGCCCTTCTGAGCCAAAAAGATCTACAAGCTACCTGTTTTTCCATCCTGGTTCAGTTTCTGTTTCCCTCACTAGCAACACCACACAAACCATGTTTTGTAAAAGGTTAAGATGGCCATAGTCCTGGAAGAAGTCTATTCGATTCCAACTATTTTAATCTGAATACCAATAATACTTAGTGATTTTTAACTTTGTAAACAGCAAAACCAAACAAGTCACCTCAGGAGGCCAGGATAGTGAACCGGCCTGCGTGATACCTTATTTATCATCCAATTTTAAGCCACATAAATGTGATACATGTCTCACATATCTTTAAATACCTGTAGATAAGGTTCTAGCTTGTACACAATAAGCAAATACATGCCAGGTGTGTGATGGTCTCTTATAGCGCTGGAGACACACTCAAACGTGGTTAGTCCTTATGCCTGAGTGCTTCACAGCCCTTGCAGGGGAAGCTGGCACATAAACAGGAAGTTCTCAGAGAGCCAGCCAAAAAGGAAAGGTGACACAAATTAGCTGAACAATGCCTCGAAGGACAGATTGAAATCCCTGACATTTTTACCTCAGCCATCTGATATTACCCACCGTCAGCTGTCTAATAATAGGAATGGTACAGGGAGAAGAAAGGCACTGAAGGCAGGGGAGAGCTAATTATAACATTTAGAATTAAGAATGTGAATGTTGTTATAGAAAGATCAAGCAGGGGTGTAGCTGGAGAGAGAGCTCAGTGGTTAACAGCACTGGCTGCTCTTCCAAAGGAGGTGTTTGATACCCAGCACCTATGTGGGTGCTCACAACCATCTGCAACTCCAGCTCTGGGGGGATCTGATGCTCTCCCCTGACTTCCTTGGGCACCAGGCATGAGTGTGGTACACAAACATACATGCAGGCAGAACAGTCACATACATGAAACCAAGGAAAGAATTTTTAAAAGCTCAGTTGAATCCAGGTTGCATTCCAAAAATCTGTACTCACAGAGATAGTTTCTGTGGGATATGAAGTATATTGACTTGCAACAAACATAAAAAGGACTAATTTGCACTATTTTATCCTTGGCATGTTGGGTACTATCCCTGGGGATTTAATTTGCAAGGCCTTCTTCACCTTCTTTAACATGCTGTCCTACTGAGCTACATCTCTAGCTCTAGACAGTTCTTGTCTGTCTGGTTGTTTAGCTTGGTTTTCGGAGTTACTTTGTCTGAGACACAATCTCCCTATACAGCCCAGGCTGTCCTTAAACTACCCTCCTGCTAGGATTGCAGGCTTACACCACCACTGGTCAGTCTACACAATTTTTAAAAATCAGTTTTACAGAATAAGGTATGGTGTTGCATGCTTATAATCCCAGAACTCAGGAGGCAGAGGCAGAAGGGTTACTGCAAGTTCAAAGCAAAGGCCAACCTAACCAACGTTCTAGGCCTGCCATGACTGCAGAGAGAGATCCTGTCTTAACAAAGAAAACAAGCCAAACCTGTTTTTAATATATCATTTCATGCTTGTCAGATTTTGTCCTTTTTTTTAAAGTTTAAATTAGAATAGAAATTCTCTGCCTTTGCTATTGGGAATGGAGCTATAATAAACATGCTGAGTTTGTTGATGGTATCTCATTTGTTTTTAATTTGTATTTCCTTGATAACTACTCATCTTTATAGTGAAGGATACACTAATTTTCCAGAATTGATTATTATACAGTGTATGCATTTAAAGAAATATATTCTGTAAATAAGTTCAATTATATATCCAAGAATTAAAAGAAAGCATATCTTTTAAAAAGATAGTTTGGAGCTTGAGACATGGCGCAATCGTTAAGAGCCCTGCCTGCCCTTGTTCCCACCACCACATCAGTCATGTCACAAATACCAGTGACTCAAGCTCCAGGAGATCCAACACCCTCTTCTGGCCTCCCAGGGCACCTGCACACACATGGCAAACACACACACATAAATAAATAAATAAAAATAAATCTTAAAAAATATTAGTAAGATAGTGAATTGTATTTTGCTCCATTTTATGAATGTAAAATAACTGTAACTTGGTCTGGAATGTAGTTCACTGACGAATCATTCCGTAGCCCATGCTGGGCCCTAGTTTTGATCCCCACCACCATACATAATTTTTAAGGCTGAAATAAGTATTGTGCTTGATGATAGTTCAGTCGGTAAGGTGCTTGCCTTGCAAGAAACAGGACTTGAGTTTGATCTGCCAGAGCCTATTTAAAAAATAAATGAATAAAAGGTGGGTGTGGAGGAAAAAAAGGCAGGGAGTGGCTGGGAAGTAAGTAGCTCCCTGGAACTCACTGGCCAGCCAACCTAGCCTACTTGTTGAGTTCCAGGCCAGTAAGGTACTCCATCTCAAATACAGTTGGCCTCCACATGCATTTCACACGTGTGCTTGTGCCCACTCATATATGAACATGGCGTAAAAATGCACACAAATACATAGTAAGATCATCTTTCTTTTTTCTCCAAACCTCCTCATGGGGCCTCAAAACTGTGTTTCAGTGAAGTGACATAGTCTACAGTCACTGAACTACATTTCCTATGCTCTTGTCATTTATTGCCTCTCTCCTCAAATTGTAATTTATTGTTGTTGTTGTTTTGACTTTAGTTTGGGTTTGATGTTTGTTCATGTGTGTGCATTTCCTTTAAGAACCGATTTGCATGTGTCTGGTGTATGCGCATGTATGTATTTGGAAGCTAAAGGACAACCTCAACCTTGTTTCT